CAAGTTACATCTGCGAAGATTGAACAGATATGCTTATTTCACTTCACCTGCAACGCCACAAATCCTACACTGGAATGCTCTGGAATATCAGCGAGGTAGCTTCCGTTCCTAAATACCGGTGGGTTATCGTTCGCATCCAAGACTTGTATTTCCACGACGGTTGTATTATATCGAGGGTGAAATGGATCTAAATCGAGTGCACGTACTTCGAAACTGTAGTTCGCCTTGGTCTCTCGATCCAATACTCCAATAGCACTTACTACTCCGTTGTCCGAAAGCGCGAATTTACCTTTGTACTGGGGAGAGCTTGGCATTTCTTTGCCTGTAACATGTCCTGAAATTTCAATCAATAATTTTGTATAACCTAAACTGACTGGCCCACAGAGCAACCAGCCGGGTCAAATGGATTCTGAGGGAAGGACAAATGACTGACTGTAAACTACAGTAAAGTATATGCAATATTTTTGTCAACACTCACGTGATATTTTGTAAGAATGCAGCACTTCTTCGTCATTAAGGCGCTTGCGCCAAATGAGAAGATCGCTGACCGATAAGTTTCCATAATACTGTGGACTTTCAACATTGTTAGGTTTTCCAATGCTCAAAAGGGTGAAAATATCGCTTCCACGTGTTATATCCTCTGAGGCCTGGGTAGAGGCGATCAGTTGTCCGTCTTGAAAGTACCGTAACCCTGTCTCGACACTCCATGTAAAAGTGAAGTAAAACCAATCCTTTAAATATCAATAAGGGCAACTTTATTCAATTTGAAAGTGGTAAAAGATTTCTTTTGCTTCACCTCGCTCTGTGTTTGGTCTGAAAAACTTGCTCCACTGTTAGGGTCAGATAATTTATGTCGACATAATTTTGGGCATAATACTATAGTCAGAGAAATTTGATTCAGTGAAATGTTATGTTCTGACTGGACTTCGCCGGATAAGCCTTTTATTTTCAGCAAGTTGTGACTGTTGGTGGTAAGAGTGGAGGGGAAGGTTGAGGGGCTGAATTAAAAACTTGAGCATAAGGAAATATTTTGCAAGTCACGCCATAATGCCATGATTTCAGGGATGACACTCAAAAGCATAACACTCAAATTGTCCTGAAACTTTATCTGAACCTATCCACTGGAAGTCTCGACCAACAAGATAATTAAAGGTCGTTACTGTACATTTGCTTTGATATCTCACTGGCTCTGTGAGGCAGTAACTTTCTGAATCTAGATGTTCAAGTGCTCTGTTCTCGTGTAAACAAAGTCGGATACTGTTCCAAGATTGATTTACCATATCTTACCCTTGGTATGGTGTTAACTTTTAGACTCCATTCACTGGTGGAGGTTTCCAAAATCAGCCTAAAGTCACCAGCCGCTGACTCCCGATAAAAATCGAATCCTGTGGCAAATCCTGATGCTCCGCCTGATGATATAACGTACTGACCAGAGACGAACTTCAGCCAGAAAGCAATGGAGAGTCCTTCTGCGCACAAACTCGGGTTACTAATGCAGTCATCTAGAAAGTAGTACGAAAGTTAAGACATGATGCAAATAATTGTTTTTTTGTTGTTGTTGATGATGTTATTTTTTTGCCTGTATCAAGTTTTAACTGACTATAGAATATCTCACTGATAAATTCCTCAATCCTGTAAGGCTTGGAAAGCTACTATACATCACAAGACTCGGAAAGAAAGAGCGGGGCATGGGAATAAAGCGCCAAAACGAACGCTATTGATCAAAGCTTCCAATCTTCCAAAGAAAACGTCAAATGCCCTCCATGACATTCTCAAGATTCATTTTATCACCACAACATTAATTTAAGGATGTCACTCTATTTACAATATATAAATCGAAATAAAGTCTCACTCTTCCTCTGACTTCCGGTAAAGGAAATATGAAAAGAAAAGAAAAAAGAACAGGAAAAGACGGAACAGAATGAGCTGCGACTCAGGAATTTTATGTTCCACTTCAGAAAACAAAATCCGAGAGAAATGCAAATCTCTTACAAAGGCAAGACAAGATTTTCTCCTTCAAAATATCTGAAAAGAGAAGAGAATGTTGCCTCCACTCTCAGTTGACAATTTCAGTAAAGCCTGGAACAGGCTAGAAAATTTTGCAATAACAAACACGGCTATAAAGATAAACGCGTTTATTTCAACAAGAAGCATGGTGCTGATGGGATGGTAAGACGTGAGAAAAGTGGAACCCATTCCGCTGCAGTAACCAGCCTTTTAGAAGGAGATCAGTGGAAACTCTGGCATAAAATATAAGGGTCTAAATCATCTGACAAGCCTGAATAATACAGGCATTTTAGAGGCAGAAATCATCAAATAAAAACCTTAGTATTTATATCTTTTCATAAGGGTCCAAACAGATTCATCAACAGCCACAGCCACTAAAAGACCATTCAAGAAATTTGCCGCTAAAATCAACCAATAAAAACATCGCTGTGATTATGTGACTATTTAAGCGTGACTACTCGTGACCACCCGTGAACCCGCAAGCAATGCATGAATAACACACGCTGGCATAACGAAGGAGGAAGTGAAGTAATTTAAAGTCATAAATACACAGACACCGAAAACTTGTCAGTAAGAAAAGGAGAAAATTATTTTAAAAAACTTCTCAGATTTAATCTGTGCCACAAATTCCCCGTAAAAAGGATAGATACGTATGTGACGAAAACCTCGACTAGAATCTATATTTATTCATGACTCACCAGATTTGATCATTTATTCACGAGGGGAAAATATCATTTTAGATGTCGGTCACGCATTACTATCATTGACTGATTCAACTTGTCTTTTCGTCCTTACACAAGCGTTTCTGAAATTATTACAAATCTTCCTGTTTGACCAAAATGTCTTTAGATCCTTCACATTACATATCTAACGCAAGAGAAAATTCTAAGGTTACTCCTTCCTTCGTTTATCTCTATATTGTAATGCAGATATCATTAGTGAACTTATTGGCATGATCATAAACATAACTTCATTTGAAATCGAGATTTTAGCTAATGAGGTCTTTTTAATACGTCAATAGCTTTCAGTAGGTTCATCTTGTCACAAAACATGACGTGAAGAGCATGTGTTTGACGAGAAACGCATCCTGAAGGAATCATGATTTCTGAAGCGTGTCATTCCCCTCCAAGTAATCTGCAAACCCTTACAAGACGCCAGATCAATCTAGCAACATTGCTTAAGAAGACGAATGAAAGACAAATCACTTTATGAGAAGGAAATGAAGAGCAAAATCGAAAAGATGAGGTCAAGTAGAGGCGAGGGGTGTCGGATTCATGTGAGATAACCCTCAGCCGTCCGGACCTCGACATGCCTAGTGTGACTTAACGTATATATATGGTTCAGGTTAGACTATCCGGTGATTATGGTATGTATATAAACATATGGCTTTCCTCACGCACGCGCTGGTAAGGGTTCATAAAACGGTGCGATGAAAAAACTTTGTGTGGTTGACTCGTTTGTGTTATAAGAACGAGATACACGTAAGGATTCCGTCATAACCGTATCAAAATTTTCTTATTTCTTTAACAAGTTTCAATAATTTTCAGGGAAAACCAAAGGTGTCTGACTAAGTATTAAGGAAGAGACTCGTTCGAAGCAGCCGAGCGGAAGCCATAGCAACAGTATTCGCTCCTTTAAAATTCAACGTCCATTTATCATTTATTTCCGTTTTTGTTTTTGTTCGTTTTTTTTTTATTTTTAAAATGTTTTTTAACTTCATTCTTACTTTTAAACAGGGAACGTGATTCTTTTAACATGCATTGGTTTATGTTCATTTTCTCAACCGGAATAAACACTAATCTTTCAGTTTTTCATTCGCAATTATAAATTTGAAAGAAGTAACACGAAAAGGAAAAGATATTTGAAAATAAGATAGGAAGTCAAGTTATGAGAAGGGTATAAGGGAGAATTGAGAACCCTTCTCACACGGACCTCGATAAAAACTACAGGTCACGCCGATTTTATAACTTCCTCCCCTGACGATTCAATAATTGTGGTGTAAAATATTGAATATTGTGAACACGCGCAGTACAGACAATAGTTCCGTCTGTGTGGCCTCAGCGTTTTCCGACCAATCAATTCTGGCCAAACGAAACAGATTTCAATGCTATCTGACGAAACAAAATTAAAGGGAAAAAACCGAAAACATTTTCGGTTATTCGGATCTACCGCCCCTGAGTCACCTTGCGGTCTAATTCTTGACTTCCGGTTAGAGACTGAGCAAATAAAAACTCAAACTAAATTCTAGTAGAATTAAAGAAATCTCATAGTAGAATTCAAATCAGGCTTCTTAAGCTTCCTCAGAGCTTTATTCAGGACCTCCTTAAAAAACGCGTTCAGATCTTTCAGCGATGTCATGTAACTTTACGACACAATAAAGGTCGACCTGCAAAATAGACGCGAACTGAATGCAAATTTTTCATGCTCTGACAGACCACAAAAAAAAAATTCTCAAAATTTGTTTCGAAGCAACCGAATGTAAAACTAGTTCAGTTTTGATGAAACTTAAATCCACTGGTAGAATTATAAAAATTATTGTATTCATTACGGCTTACTTTCCAAAGATCGAGCGAAATAAGGTTCTCAGTAATCACAGCCTATGAGTCGTATTTGCATGAAAGTCACGTTTTGGAACAAATAAACCGAGGACCAAGTGTAACCTGGGTAACCACCTGACGTCATAGATAACGCAATCACAAGAGATCTTCCGCTTCCGTTTTCGAAAGGCCGCAGAATGTTTGAAATAAAACATTGCACTACCTTCTCAGTATTCCCTTTGAAACTTCTTTCTGTTTTTGATGTATTTTCTCTTAAATTCTTCAACCTCAAAAATGACAAAAAATTTTACTTTTAGCGCCAAGAACTAGAATGTCAGAGCAGCTGTATTTTCTCGCTAACCAAATGATAACACACTAATTTGAATTTCTCTCTGACGGTGCAAATGAAACTATCGAATGACTCTATTTTTTCGTAGCAACATTTCCCTGATTTTATTCCCTGGTTTTGGGGCCTGCCTTGAAGCTTGTTACAATTCCTATCGGTACAGTTCAAAGTTAACGCAGGCCGGGATTTGCAGCAAAGTTCCTGTCAATAGCATATTCAAACAGCGAATTTGTTTGATTGTTTTGACAAGGTTCGTTGATTTATTGCTCGAGAGGATTACGACAGAACATTTGATTTGCTTAAAGCGTAATGTAAGAAGTTTTCATTCTTATCAAGCCTATAATTCTCATGTTTTTTTTCCATTTTTCTGAGCATACTTGTTGCCTTATGCAGTCGATGAATATTTCAATTGCAAGATATGCCTTTTATAGATGCCAGTGAAATAACTGCTCGGAAGAACTACATTCTGACAATCAATAATTTCATTCCAATCTGTAAGGATCTTTCGACAGATAGCAAAATATACATGAGGTCTAGGGAGAGGAGGAGGGGTGTTCAATTTTAGTGGATAACCCTCCACCGTCCGGACCTCGACAGAAGAGTTGATGATAGAGATATTTATATCTTTCAGGTTGTTGATCTTATACTTGTGGTGCTTTACATGCATTAACGCAGGCGCAATTGAAATCAAAACGAAGTTGGAAAGACTCAATTAACTAAGCGTGAAGCGAGATGGTGAAGGTTGGTCATTGGAAGCTACGCACGGATAGATTTCTTTACCAAATGAATCATACACGAGAATGATATCGTCTTGTTTTTATAATGTGCAGAAACACTTAAAATAAAAGGGAAGCGGTTTTTTTGTCGCTTGCCCTGCCGGCTTTCCTTTCATCTGCGATTCCTTTTTTTTTACTCAAAATAAGGGGGGGGGCCCTAAATCCGCCACTGGTTACAGATTTCTTTCCTCATCATCATTATCCTTTAATGTATTCTATCGATATAACTGGAGCTTTTGCTAGCTGGCAGGGCTTCATTCAAGGTCACGTTTGTAGCAATGGTTAAAAGAAATGTTTGAACACAAACCCCGTCGGTTTACTTCCTTTGACCCCAACTAAACAATCATGCAACAAAAGTGTTTGACTCAGAGATAACATTACAAATGTCTTTCCAGCCAGGTAGACATTTTTTTTCACTTTTCTATGAATTGAGTTAGTTGTATTAACATGAAGAAAAGAAGAGACCGCCGACAGGAAAGCATACTTTGTGATGGGATGGGAAAGAAAATAAATACCTTTAAAGTCCCCCATTAGTAACCACCCCTCAGATGCTTCGAGTGACACCACATTGCCGAGGTCTGGGTCAAAGACTACTTTCGCACCGTTTTTTAACTCCCCTTGGATACCACCACGTATGTCCAGAACCTTGCCACCATCCCCACGGTCAAGTGGCCATTGGTGGTCACGATAAAAACCTAGAGTATATGAAAAAAAGAAAAAAAGAAAAAGGAGAAAAAAGCAACGCCCCATTACAAACCTGGCACTTTGCAATAAGTGTCGTGATCCTTTCGCGACCCAACCCAAGCCTCCCGCTTTTTTCGCTCCGCCGTTACTATCGTGACATTTATTCCCTGTCGCACTCCGTTTTAATAACCGAACGCCTTGGACAGGCAAATCAAACCCCTAATTACGTTCAATACCTATCTTTACATTCTCACCGATTCTCATCAAAATAAATTGCAGAGAAAGATTTTTTTTGCTCTTAGCGCAAGAGCGTAAGGCAGAATAAACAATGTAGCGCCGATAGATTTAAGTCGTTTTAGCTGTGAACACTTGAAGTCTCAATTTTAATTCGAGTTCGCGTGTGGAAATTGATTTTTCAAAAACCGAAAGAGTATGCGCGTGAACTAGTAACAATAACCACTGCCAGATTTATTTTAATACACTGACAGTCATCCCAACTAGCGAAAAAACAGAAGATTTCAGTTATCTCGCTAAAATGTGGGACATAAAGGAAACAGATATGATCCAATAACGTCAAACAACTACAGTGATGAGGACTAACAATTTAAACAATGTTTAAAGTAATAAACTCACTTGTCTGGTTCACAAATTCGTACTTTAATTCACCGTAAGCAGAATTCTTATCGTCTTGATCTTTATCGACGGCAGTCACTTCACCAACAACTTTGCTGCTATCCACGTAAGAGCCCTGATATCCAGAGAAGTATGTAACAGGATGAATTCTTTCATTGATCTTAGATTTATTCACGAAAGAAAATAGTATACAAGAACACAAAATGATTAAGATATTCCGTTCGCGAATAAACGATCGATATTGATTTAGAGACCAGTTTTGAACAATTTGCCATACGCGAAGCTAAAACAGTGTAACACGATTTAGGTAGCCGGTTGAACAACAACACGAAGTCTGCATTACATGATGTTGTCTTTTAATGAGCCTAGATGAGATTTTTCTCCAGTTCAAATCTTTCTTCAAGCCAGAACTAAGGTACCAGTCCTTCTAATTTTTCCCCTGGGGGAGGGGATCAGAGGATTCAGGCCACGATACGTGTTGAGGACTAATGTCTCATATTTCAAACCCACCTCTAACGCGCTGAAGAGAAACTTCTTCTGAGTGAACATAGGAGTGTTGTCGTTAACGTTCTCAAGTTCAATTATAATTGTGGTATTCCTGGAAGAAATGATATGTAAGACTAGATTAACTGTATATTGTAGCCATTATGGTCATCTGGACGGAGATCACACTTCTCTATCAGTTCTTCCGGGAGAGTTAGAAAATTGGTAGTTCGTTGTTAGACTTTGTGATTAAGTTCTGTTATCTCTAGTGCTTTCCCCGATAAGAAAGTGATCCAGTAGTTATTTGCTATTTCTTTATAGTCTATGTCTAGGGTTGCTAGTATACATTGTTATAAGATAAAAGAGACTGACGTAAGCGGGTGCATCAGGGTGGCAACGAAAGGTTCTTTTTTCCTTCCTACTCGTTGGGTAAAATTAGATATTTCACATCCTTTAAGATAACCAAGTTTGTTATTTAGGGTCATATCGGGCAACACCAAAATACTGACCCTGATAGCGGAGGCATCCCTTTGTCTGTGGCTGTAAGGGTCAGTGTGTATGTGTTTGGTTTTACATCGTAATCAAACGGTTGGTGGCTTGATATAAAGCCACTCGAACTGTCCACAGTAAACTGAGGAGGAACCTATGATTGAAAAAAATAGTTCTAGTCCAAAAAGAAAATTTTTACTGCGGTATCATTAAAGGTTGACTAAGAGAAGGATTCTTTTGACTGGTGGATAAATCCTCTCCACAGAAGAAAGAGGAGGAGTTATCAAAAAAATATTGGAAAGGATGAAAAGATGCATACACGGGCAGCATACACGGATGCATACACGGGCAGCATACACGGGCAGCATACACGGACAGCATACACGGATGCATACACGGGCAGCATACACGGATGCATACACGGGCAGCAGGGAAGATGACAGTAAAAACTCTAGCGACAAGTACACAAAATCATCCAGTCCTCGTCTTTACCCTTAAACACATTCGATGTAAGATACATAAAGGAATCACTTGTAACATTATCTGCGTCGGTTATGAAGCTGTGCTTGCAGATAACTGGTTTGTGAGAGTTACCTATCAGTATTCCTTATGTTAACTAATCCAAGAAAAGCAACGCTTGCTCACCTGATCATTGCCTGAAGTGATGGCAAAACTCAGCTCTTGATTGGCGGAAGTATCTCGGTCGTTACTTACAGGGCGTAAAACAACAGTCCCTTTGGGGGTATCCTCCAGAACTGTCACGGTGTATACAGCTGGTAAAGTAGGACAAAAGAATGCGTTACGATGTACACAGCTAATAGCCTGATTAGGGCAGTGGGACATAGAATGCGTTACGCAGTAGTATGGACACGGTTATTATGACTCATGATAACCGTGACCATACAACTGCAGAGGAAGATTGGATAAAGAGTATATCGTTTTAGAGAAGAATACTTTGCTTGAAGCATAGTTGCAAATTATTTATTTTTCTCTATCTTTTTTAAGAAGATCCAGTAAATAACATAGGTACGATATGCACAGCTTCATCCATTTGGAAGTGACTACGTTGACTAGTGCTCCTCTTTGCTCTTAGCTTCGAACGAAAATTAAAAAAGACATCCCAAAAGGAGATTGGAAAAATGGCCGGGCTAACATTTTCAGGGCTTGATTAGTTCAAATATAGGTTAAGTGCCAAGGTAACGATTAGTTTAAAAAGGTTGGTGATCGAACTAAAAAGAAAACTCAGTCTTTGCAAGTATTACATGACCTACCAGATTCAAAATACGGTGGACTGTCATTCACGTCAAACACAGTGATACTAACCTGTCGTTTAAAGAGAAAATGAATAGTGGAAAACAAAATAGAACATTATACAAGAAAAGCGACGACTTGGATGGAACGGAGGCGAAAGGTCACACTCTTTAGGTATAAATTTTGTTGCTTAAAGTTTTAAATTCCTCTGTTATCGTGCTATGTCGTTTCTTCTCCACAAAAAACAAGGTCATCAAAAGCTTCGCTCCTGTACAAAGGCTTAGCAACTAAGCACACAAATGCAAAATTACTTTTGTAAATTTTTCGCTGAGAATAAAAGATTCCAGATCCTTTCCATCAGGTTATAACACGTTCCTAATAAGTAAAGTTCTACAAATAAGTGAAAAAAAAACGTTCCTACATGCCAGCTTCTTCCCGATCGCAGAAACTGAACCAGACATCTGAGCACATTCAAATGTTCTATATAGGCTATGGTAATCCTCACCCTTGTGGTGGAGTTTAATGAAACTTTTCCTTGGTCTTTAGCCATGATCTAGAAAACAAGAAAAAGTAGACATTAGTTTGAAAGAGATTACGAAGCTAACAGTTTTGAAACGTTGAGTCCACGATAAGACAGCGGAAATAATTCAAAATCAAGAAAATGGACTATTACCGTGAGTAAGAAAGAACTCTCGTTCATCGGTGGATCTCTGTCAATGGGACTCTTCACGTAAATTATACCACTAAAGACATCAATGAAGAACCTCTCAAGGTTATTACCGCTGACAATGGAGTATCTCAGAGCCATGTTTACATTGTCATCGCGATCTTGGGCAGAGAGTTGTAAGATGGCGGTACCAGTGGTGATGTTTTCATATATTTCAACGTGATACAAAGGGTTTGCAAACAATGGTCTGTGGTCATTTGTATTCTAAAGAAAAAAAACGAATTTTCCATACATTCATAAAGCCGTCCATTTCATATTGGAAGGGAATTCAAGATTGAAAACTGCGAGACATCGATACGATCTTAAACCTCTCGCGTGCAAGCGACATTAAGACCAGTAAAAAAATGACCGCTTTCCGTTGTTATGGGAAGCTTAAAATGCAGCACAGGGTATCGTCCTGAGCTGCGGACCCTGAAATTTCAATTTTGTCTTCCCTTTGGGCTTATTAGCGACATTCTCCAAATACGCATGCTGTCACCCTTCCCCCTTCTCCCCCTTCCCCCCCTCCTCCCTAAAATTATCTTTCACATTCTCCACGCTGTTCTCTTAACATTTCTTATGGTACTGACGAGGAGAATTTGTTTGACAATCAGGAGCGTCCTACATTGGTGATCATTTCCTTTATTCTCATGACCTGTACATTTGATTTAAAGGTGATACTGTATGGAGAAATTAGAAGCTAGACACTCATAGGGGTTAATGGGTGAAAACCCTTTGGTGACAGTAGAAGTGCAGCAAGGTCTTATTCTAGGCTCTCTACTTTCTACGTAGGAGTGGCGTTTACTTGCATGAGAAGCCCAATGTTCAAAAGAAATACTCAAGATATCACTTTCATCATTGTGATTGGGTTGAATTCATCGTCAGTGACGATAGCATTACCAAAGCAAGGTGATTTTTATCCCAAAGTGCTCCGACCATAGAAGAAAATAGGGATCAGGAAAGCCTTACCTCGACGACAACTTCAACCACAGTAGAATCGTCAAACACCACTCCATAACTGTGGTTGCCATGGAGATCGGACACACGAACCAATAAGATGTAGGAATCCTGCTGTTCTCGATCTAAGGGTCGAGTTGTGGAAAGAGCACCGCTGGCAGGATCGATGGCGAAACTGTTGTCAACATCTCCAGAAAGTATTGAATACAAGAACGCCGAGTTGATGCCAATATCTCGGTCAGTTGCCTATATAGCGAAGTTACATTAGTTGGTTCAGGTAAAAAAAACATGCGCAACGAAAGCAAACGATTTAAATAACTTTTAGATTTGTAAAACAGCAAATTTTCGAGCTCCAGGAGTGACATTCGGTCGTCCAGAGAAGCTGGTATTTTGCCCCGTTTTCTACGGTTGGTTGTAATTCATCTTGCTTTAACTATTCTGCCAATGCGATTTTATGACAGGAACAATTCAGAGAAGGGACGGGGATACCACCTAAGTGCTTACGTCCAGACGGGCGTATGCCGAGGAAAGAACTGACATTAAAAACCCTACAAAAATGATTGCTGCCAAATGAATGGGCAAAGAAGCCTTTGTTGCCTGTGACAAGGCAAGGGTTTTACGATAGCTACAGTAGTTCAGAACAAACTAAGGAAGTAAGTTGGAAGTTCTGATAGGTTCTAGTGAAGGATCAGGCGGACGCTGTCGGAATTAGTACCACGCACGGTTAGCGAGCTGATACATTAGGCCTTCCTTCGGAATAACAATACTTTCAAAAATCCAGTATATTATATAAAACAACGACATTGATTAATTAAAATGGATTAATAAATCCAATAAAACATGAAAAAAAAAAACCAGGTCACTCAAAATACCGTCAAATTCAAGATGACATGCGCGGGAAGTTGCTCCTCCACTGCTACAAAGTAATGCCGCTGACTGAATACTGGACTATGATCGTTGACGTCAGAGACGTTTATCATAACATGAACTTCAGCCTGGAGATTAGAAAGACCTTTATCTTTGGCTAGAACCCGGATGTTATGTTGGTCACCAGACTCACGATCTAATGCAGTAGTTGTCTTTATTTCACCAGATGTCTGGTCAATGGTAAATCTGGAAAGAAACCGAAGAACTTTTTTTCAGTGAATGACTGAGAAACAGATAGAAATTAAAGACAGAAATGAAATGCATCTTCTAGACTAGCACATTGTTTTTATATTTACCTTACGTCGCACTGAAATGCTTGGTAAACTAGTTGCGACTAGAGGCAAATATTACTTCAATATGGTGCTGTATCTAAATGGATTTATGTATCAAACATGAATTCATAGATCTTCATATCAATGGATTGAGTTTCTTTTTCAAATTATAGCCAAATGCATGAGCCTTAACTTGACCACCTACATTCTTTTTAAAGATAACTTACTTCATGTAATCTTGTACGGACTTAAGGCTGTACGTGACTTCTGCATTTATGCCCTCGTCAGTGTCTATTGCCTGAAGAAGTAAGAAATTTAAATATTAACAGCCAAGTTTGATGTGTGAAATGGTAGTGAAACTGAAACAAGAGGTATGTTCGAACAAGGATACAAAGTACATTCAAAATAGCGCGCTTAGAACAGGAAAGAGAAATTAATTTCGTTCAACTGCTGCCAAGTCTTAAAACTTACAACGCTAACGCTTTGAAACAAATAAAAAAAATCCTGACTTTTACTTCAGTGTAACGGCACGGTTTTACCAAAATCAATGCAATACTACGTGCTTCAACAACAACAAATGACTTCGTGAGGACCAAACTGAAGCAGTTATTGAACATAAAAGTAACAAGAACAAAAATGTCCCACTCTCACTTACCTTGACCATTCCGACAGTTAAACCAGCTTTTCCCTCGTCCACCGAAAAGTAATAACCGTCTGGTTCGGTGAATACCGGCGAGTTGTCGTTGACATCCGAGATATGAACAACCAGACTCTTTGTTGTTGACTGTTGAGATGGAATCAGATTTTTACAAAAGAAACCTCTTGTCTGGGAGGGTGTAGGGGCTGGTCTTTACTAACTCACGGCTTATTAATAAATGAATCCCGATCTTCTGTTATACCCCATCTCATTTACAAAATAATCGTTCAGCTTAATCAGTTTTATTTGAATGGGAGTATTAGTCTATGCCATCTTAGAGATAAAAGTAAAAATTTCCACACATTTATATGAGACATTATTGCACAAGGGTGGAGCCAGGATTTTTCAAAGGGTTACATTTAGACAAACAGAGGGTACTCGTCAGATTGTAATGTCGACCTCCACGCCGTGTTTTACTTAATGTGTCAAAAACAGGCTTACAATGGGGGGATCTCGGGCGCTCCTGGACTTCTCCTCCTTCCGCTAAACCCTTGTTTTTATCGTGTCATATTCGCCGCGCGCTAATCAAATAACCCAATACTAACTACTTCAAAATTAAAATGAAACACAATTTTTTTTAAGTTAACGCGATAAATTTCCTGTTTATAACATTCCTATGGTTGTTGTCGAGAGGTTGCACAAAAACAAAGCTACATCAAAAACTTGTAAAGAATTCAAAAGTGAAGCTCAAAAGGTGGAGAGACGCCTCGGACCTTAAGCATTTCATCTTTAAACAATCTCCGAGTTATCCATCTGTCGTTACTAACCTTTCCTCCTCCATCTTCGGCTGTAATTTGAAGAGAAAACTGGGCACTAGTTTCTCTGTCCAGCTTTCGAAGAGTTGAGAGACTTCCGCTGAAATCCAAAAGTAAAAAAAAATTTTAGAATGACTTCTGAGAAAACTCACGTCCAATCTTGAGTGCTAGGCAAGCATTACTTATAAGAATAATTAGAGAACATAAGACGTTATTCTGTCGTGACAGATCAAAAGGAAGTTTTTCATAATAAATCTCTACGAAAAAACTTACATTCGGATAGAGTGCAAGCAGCAAAAACTAGCAACAAAACATGCAAAAATGAGGTGGTTATGACCTCGCTTTTAAAAAATGTACAATTATCTCAAAACGGATAATTATCTGTTCACAACTCTTTTGATTAGTTTTCTTCCCACTTCTCAGTCCATGAGGACCTTGATCAGTTAGAAAAATAATTTTGCTTGGATCCACACATTATACTGCGACAGACAAACGAAGCATGGGTGATTGGATGAAAATGTACTAAGGAAATGTCTGTTTCTATGAAGCCACAGAAGCTTCAAATAGCTTTTTCTAGGATGATTCTTAGCAAATATAGATATTTCATATGAATTTTATGATGCTTTTACCTGTTGATATTCAAAGAGAAAGCATTGTCAATATTCCCAGCGGAAATACTGTAACTTACAATAGCGTTCACACCTTCATCAGGATCAGCGGCCTAACAAACAAAAACATTGCAATGTCAATACTGTTAATCGATCGCAACTTTCGATCTTTCTAGGTCGTCAGTTGTTTGAAGCGACTTCACATCGATTGGGTATTCGCTGATGGATTTTTACACCAAAAAATGGTAATGATCAGTGAGGATAAAGTTTGGGAAAACGGTCTAAGTGTGCATTTGAAGATCTTTGTTATTGTGTAGGTCTACATTATCAGTCAATGATTAAGAGGATTATCAATCCGGTAGATTACCATTACCATCATCATCATTATCATCGTCATCGTCGCCGTCGCTATCATCGCTATTATTGTCATCAGTAACAGGGAGAGGGCACTCTGGGATGTGACCAATCACGAAACAATATTCAAGTAACGTGACTACTTAAGACCAATCAGATTGTCACTATCATCTCTACTGTCACATCACTATCGACATCTGTATTATCGCCACTTCCATAACTGTCATCATCATTTTTCTCCTCATCAACATCAAAAACAAAGATCATGGTGACAAAAGTGTCAGGATCTGTACTTGATAAGGTGAAAATATTTACCTGAACCGTGTAAAAGACAGTGTTTATGGATGCTCCCTCTGACACGCTTGTCTCGTTTGGTAAATTTGTAAATCTTGGACTGTTGTCATTTTCATCACCAATGGTTACCTCAACCTGGCAGTCTCCGAATCTAAAGAGAGAAGAATTATACATTCACAATTCAAACAAGATCAGAATAACTTGGAAATTCTTAGGTAACCATCACATGGACCGGCTGAGGATTCAATAAAATAAACCCAAGTGTTTTTGCGGCAAAGAAATTGTAATTATAGGTTGTAAATGGGCATTTGCATAAAAACAGGTATTTATTTCACCTCCACCTCATAAAAAAGAGAACACGTGTAGTCTGAACAACTCCAGGACGTCACTTCTCCCTGTTTTTTCGTATACACTACTTGAACGTCACGTCATTTTACAGTAACTATTTTCCTTTATTATAAATTGTTAATTTTTGCTGGCAATTTTAAGAGGAATTAACTCAATGTCAGTGTCTGAGCAACTTCACACCTTCCCCTCCCCTAACCCAACATTAACCTTAACTTGTTGTCAGTCGACTGTTGTTGGATTAGGGGAGAGGTATGTGCGCAGTTTCTCTGATACTGACATTGATCTAGGGATGGAGGTAGTCTACTATTTGAAGGGCAATTTCTACCTTGCTTGTCCGCTAGTTGGCTGGTCTGTGGCGCGCGTGGTTAACCTGTAAAGCGCAAGGTGCTCGCGGTCAAAACTAGCCGTGGTATAAATAGTGCCGTTAATGAGATCAATAGCAAAAGACTTGTAATGATCAGTAGCATCTGGAACAAGACTAAATCGGATCGTTCCACTTGGTCCCAAATCAGGGTCGGATGCAGTAATCTATAATTTCAAAAAAATTATGAAAAATATATTCAGCGTCAATCATGAAATTATGCTCAATTGTTGATGTCACGTAAATTGCGTGACGAGACTCTGTCCTTTCAGAATATCTTCAGGAAGTGTAACACAATGCAGTGTAGCACTTAAGTAATTTGTGAGCTATTGATAATGTCTATGATTTGAGGTATCTTTTCGCAGAGGGACATACGAATTGTTATTAAAAATCTTGGGAAAGCCCATTGTGAAATTGCCGCACTTTAAAGGAATACAAGATGAAAATGAATGAATAAAGAAACCGTTCAACAAATAAAAAAACGTGCTGAGATATTTGCAGATCTCAACGCTTAACCCTTAGATCCAACACCTGAAAGCTTCCAAATTCAATAATCGGTCCTGAACTTTTGGCGCACTTTGGGAACAAAAAGAACGAAGGAAAAATGAAACAAATCTTAATTCAGCAAATAAAATTATACTCTGTATCTCACCTTCACCACAGAAGTGTTCGTTGGTCTGTTCTCTGGCACAGTAACTCTGTAAACAGCTTGGGAACATTTTGGATTATTGTCGTTCAAGTCTGTGACATTTACAGTAACAGATGCCACAGCTTGACGCTTTTCCGACGTCTTAGTCTCCTTTGCGAGCACCTAAGTTTTCAAATTAAATCATGTCGCTTTGAGGTTGCGACAACATTGCATTGTAGGTAACATGTCGAGGGATCACGTACCGAATCGCAGATACGTTGAAGGTAGATAGCTTTTCTTATATAAGGAGATTTTTCCTAGGAACCCAGAATGGTCGTGGAAAGCGGATATAAAATAATTCAGCGGTGCATGTTGCCAGTTAGCGCGAGGAAGTTCTTACGCCATTTTAGTTTACCGAGAGAGGTCTGGAAAGAGCATTAGTAACCGCCCGACCGTACCCCCACCATTCTTTAAGGAAAGAAAACGTACACGCACTCACTTAGTCGTCTTCGTTGTTGATGCCAATTTTTGTTTTGTTCGTTTACTTGTTGTTTTGTTTTAGGTTCATTTTCCTATCGATTTATTAATTTTTTCCCACACATATTTAATCGCTCACAAATATTACAAAAGGATTAAGTTCAAGTCGTAATACTGACCTGAAATGAATGTACATCCTCAGTTTCGCGATCGATTTCGTCGTTTACCAGGATATACCCGGCAGGCGTGACGGTAAACTTTCCTCCGGCGCGTTCCAGGCTGTACGAGAACACTGCGTTATTTCCCTAACATGAATAAAATGATGAAGCCAGAAAGCTAAGTCTTTTAAAAGCCAGGGAGCTCTCACCGGAAGAGCTGGAAGCATTTACCGGTTTATTCAGCACCAGGAGACCAGGAGTATCGCTATTTCTACTTATTGGGAGGGGAGACAACAGCCAAAAGTTCAAAAACTTCTTCAAAATTTTTCTGGTACTCATCAAAGTTATCGTCAGGTCTTTTAGTAACCAGCCATAGAAAACAGTCGTCATCTGGCGGTAATCAATTGAGTGCCCGAAGGGCACGAGCATTTATTTCGTTAGCATCGATTCCCCTTGCTTTTACATATTTTTCTTTCCGTTTTTTTCCTGTTCTATCCATTCTATACGAAAATAAAGCAAACGTTTCAGATCAAGATAAGTCTTCACAAACAAGTATCTAGTGAAAACGCCGGCTGCTGGTGCTTCTGGAGAACAATGACTCACTCAAAGTTTGCTTTCAAGACCATTATAACAGTTGAGTGTTTTGCTCGTTAACACCACGCAGTGAAACAGCCAGTACTCTAACCAAAACCTTTAAACCCGAAATCCAAAATGCTACAAGGCCACCTTGTCACCCACAAGAAAATCACATTCCACTGACTGTACACAAACAACTAGTTTTTTTAATTATCACAAAACGAAATCAAAATCGGACCAGTAAGAGAGGTTACTGAGAAAATATCAGTGCGACTTTACCTCGTCTTTATCCACAGCTGTAACTCTCATGACCGTCATCCCAAGTGATGCGTTTTCCAGAATCTCTCCTGAATAAGGTGCGTCGATAAATACAGGAGGGTTGTCATTTACATCCTTCACAGTTATCTTTACGTTCGCATAAACTGGGTTTTGATGAGTGGAAGTGGCCTGCAAGACGAAAATTGTAAAAAAAATTTGAGTTAAATTGAGAATTTTCCAGTCTCCTCATCGCACTCGTTTTTGTGATGCAAAGACGCTTTCTCCGGCGTCTCGTTTCGGCACATTTTCGAAACAGCTGCTTGCCATGTAGATTTGTGGTGACTTTGTGTTTCATATCTCAGCGGCCGAGCCAGCCCTCTTCAGGCACAAGAGACACTGTTGGTAAATTCGAAACATGCTGTATTTAGCAGACTGGGGATAGGTAAACTGTCCACTAAATTGACATCAATATGGAATGATAAATTGATGATGTTAGCAGCCTAGTGGTTTACACTTATAAGACTGCTCTACATTGGGAGCCAGAGAGAAAGAGAGCGAAGGGCCTCCGAAAGATCGTGTAGCGGCGGACGGTTGAGAAGGAATGAGACAGATGGGGAAGACATTACGGGAAAGGCAAGGGAGGTCTGATGCAGGCCCAGTCGAGGTGGATGAATCGCGTTGTTGCTTCGTACACCAACTGAGGTCAGAGAATGAATAATGACGCAAGTGAATGGACCTAACTAGTCAGCCAGGACATTTCCAGAAAATTACTCACCCCAATTCTTAAGTTATAGGAGTCCCTAGTCTCTCTGTCCAACGAGCCATTCACAGTTATCACTCCAGATGAGCCCAGAATGGTAAATACGCTGTTGGGCTTTGTATCTTAAAGAGGAAAAATAAGATAAACTCAATCAATACAGAAGAAGTCTTTCCGCACCGGGAAATGGGTGAAAATCATCATTATGCAGCGTTTAGGAACTTGAAGCTAAAGATGACTTCTGCTTAGGTTATATCATCATCGATCACTGATGAGGATGACATTCAATCCTCTCTTGTAGCAAAACCATTCATTTTCAGGATCAATGTCACCCAGGCGATCGGACAACATTATCAAATATTTTTCTTGTTATAGCCTACAAGACGCCTAAGTAGTCATCAAAGGTCATCGTGTGTATGATTCTCAGTCTTTAGTCCGTGTTTCCGTGTTCAAGATTTTGTGGACATGGGGGATCAGTCGTCGCCCATAGAGGATGAAGGGGGACTATGGAAAACTGACTGTCGACTAACTGCCAATGTGGGAGGACCATAAGAATGCCGCAAAGCCTTATGGGGAGATCAGGTAAATTTTATCGCGACACAAGAAAAATCCTCCCCGTCGATAAATAACAACCGCAACCGGTTCCTTACCTGTATCTATGAAGTATTCCACTGGTGCATCTAACATCTCATCTCCGTCACGTGCTGTAACAGCCGTGACGTAATAACCCTATACAGTGAAGTATACGCGCAAAGACAATTTCAGTATAAGTATGTCAAGGTAATTCTCTGGTATTTATAATTAGTAAAGTGTGTACATCAAATAATTGTGGAGGAAGAGATCACCGTGAAGTAAATTTATCAAGATACAAAAAAAAACAAATGACCTATCATCTGTGGTAGATGAAGACTCTTCTTTATATCAAATGCTGAATTAGAATAGAGCAGAGAAGCAGCCCCTGCTTTTCGGCGAAGTCCGTCGTGCGAATAAAAAAAAGATCAGTGAAAAAAAACGTTGACGTTAGCGCGCCAAGCAGAACTCTGGGAGAGAGGTGTACGAAAAATATCTGCGAGGTGGGCTAGCATCAATTTTTTTTTTGACTGAATTATTATTATTATTATTATTATTATTGAAATTAGAAAAAAAGAGCGTTCTTTAATCTAGAGTTGAGTTTGTGCATAACAAATGCAACTTGGAATTAGTATCAGTACTATTTAATAATTCCGTCATGACCTTAGCTGCATTTTCTGGCACTTCTGCTTCGTATGATGAAGGAGAAAATTCGGCCGGGAGATCATCAGCGTCATCAATGAGAATATTCAGTGTTGTGCTTGAATTAAGTCCATTGCCTGGCCCGTTGTCCTAAAGCAGATTGATGAAAAAAATGCAATAAATCATGTCCAATTTCAGAGGAGTGCTTTAGATTGGTTGTCGTCAGTAAAACCAAACCAAAGATAATCACAACAGCCAATTTGACTAAAGGACAAGTTTTATGGAGCCCTTGACAACTCAAAGTAAACACACAATAACCGACTACAAACGCGATAAAATACGAGTTACAAGGTTTGTGTTGGTTTTAGTTGGCATGCAAAACCAGAACAATTCATCGTGCGATCCCCATCAAACTGCAATCCTAAATTACAGCAACTCTTGATTGCTTTTGATATAAATGGCTATGGAAGCTTAGAGAATCTTAGAAAAATCAATTGTGTCTGCTTACTACAAGATTCAATTTAGGAATGAATGACATATATTTTGTGGGGGGATCTGTGCTTTTTTGTTGTTGTTGTTGTTGTTGTTGTTATTTAAGTGGCCTAAGATACGCTTGTAAGTTAGTGAGACTCGACCAACCTTGGCAAGAATTTTCAGAGTGTAGTTGTTGATCGACTCATAATCCAGCTTTTTGGTGACAACTACACTGCCACCATATAATTCGATGTAAAATTTGTCTCCCTGAATAGGAAAAAAATACCCAAGTCATTGACTGGACTACAAACTGATAGTGGTTTGCAATATGGATTTGGTCCTCTTCTTTGTCGCATAAAACAGGTGGCCGTGCGCAAAAACGGCAAAAATCGCCATTACATATACTTTTAAATTAAAATTACGCCTGCCGTGCTAGAAAAATTGTCAATCGAAACAAAATGAATAAAGCTTTTAAAGAACTGTATAAACATTTTACTACTTCTATCATTAAAGATTGATTTTTTTGGCAGTAAAGTTTCCGCTTGTACCTTCCCACCAGCGGCAAAATCTAGGTAAACTGTATTTAAGCGATTTTCACCGTAGTTTTATCCCATGGAAGACAGTTTAAAAGGCTATAAAATTTTTTTTATCCCTTTTACCTAGTTTTTACATGATTTTTCATAAGCTCGTGAAGCCTACGTGTTGAAATATTGCATTGAAGCATGCGCTTTAGAGCCTTTTAGGGCGATTTTAGGGCGATTTGTGACAAAACCTGTGACTCAGATATGAAAGCAGTATCTTTCGATTAGTTTATAATGTACATGAAAAAATTACGCGCTTCTTATTGGCTTAAAACGAATACATTCTCATGTAACAAGAGTGCAAAGTTGTAACATGGGTGCAAGTTACAAATACAAATGCATGCTTTCAAAATTTCGTCTGTCTTGGCTTTCTACAATGTTTTTTTATGTGCATTATTAACAAGTAATAACATGATTTCTCTTGTAATTTGGTGTAATGTAAACATCGGTAAATTTTTGAAAGACTACAAATTGCACTTGCCCTGCGGACTCGTGCAATTTTGTTGTCTTTGAAAAATTTACCCGTGCTTATTTACACCAAATTGCATTCGAAATCATGCTATTAACCATACTAATTGTAATGCTAATCATTACTACGATTAACCAGTGTACCTACCACATTTCCATCTACGATTGTGAACGTGAGAAGATCCTTCGCTGGTGGGTCCGGCATATCCGCATCAGTTGCTGTCACAGTAAAAATTGTGCTGCCTGAACTGACGTCCTGCAGTTAAAAGAGAGTTTTCTTGAAAACGTTATAATGAACTCAAACGTCCCTTATAATTAACTTCACGAGACACAATCTGTATAGTTGTTGTCTAAGAGTGCCGAACGGAGAAATATTTAGCTCATTAGAATTTCTTCTTTTCAAGCTCAGCCATTTAGGCAAGTCATAGAAATCAGCGAAAAAACAATTTCAATTCGGCGCGGTGGAAACAGAGATCTTGCTTCCCTAACTTATTTTTCCTGAATTTGCACAAATAACTTAGCCGTGAAAGAGGGGTACACATAATTTTAAAGAGAACGTTATCTGATGCAAATCAAGCTTGCCCCTTCCCGTACGTCTTCGCCCATTCTCAGACCAAGATTTTTCGCGTTTCACTCCTAAAGGATCTTAAAAATTACATTCGTACAAGCCTGAAATGGCTAGAAATATGAAAACGTTGTCTTTATGATTTTTTTATGTTATAGTGTCAAATCTCACCTCGCTGATTCTTTTTTGGTAAGGAGCATTCTGAAAAACAGGTGTGTTATCGTTGATGTCCTCTATAGTAATCGACACCGTCGCGGAAACCTGAGAAGATCACATATTCGAAAAAAAGTCGACTGAGAGGAATCGAAAATATACATTGATTTTCATAAAAGTACAGCAAATATGATGCTTCCTCAATTATTTTTGACCCAAATTTGTTTGTTTTCCCCGGCTTTGTGTATGTTTTACATTTTTCTGCTTTACTTTTCTTCATTTTTGTTGCTCCTTTTACCTTATTTTCGTTCACTATGAATTGATTGTTCTTCCACTCCCATTTTTAATCATGTACTTGTTAGCTTGTTTTCTAGTGTGGGCTATGTCCGCTTATTTGTTTCTTTGTTTTGTTCGCTCTGATACAATGCTGACCTACCTTCGCCTGAGGTCCATTGGCATCATCGTAAGCGTACACTGTGAATTGAATACTTTGAACAAGAGAAGTCTGTTTTAAAAGAAAAATAGACAGAAAAACACACCAAGTAGGTCATCGTTGCATTTCTTGATTTACTACTGAATACATTTCCTCTACTTAAGTATTTCCGAGCTTGAAAGCAAGCATTTGTTTTATCAGTAAATCCCAAAACGCATAGACCTTTTTAGAAAGAAACTGAGAATTTTTCAATGCAGACCCACCTCTCTGTCGATGCTTATATTAGATGTTATCCACCCACTAGATTGGTCGATGCTGAATTTTCCGTTGGCGTCTGAGCCAATTTCATAACTGATCGTATTTCCTTCTGCATCTGTGGCAGACACTTGAGTCACTCTGGTGCCTGAGAAGTAATAACTTAGATTCTAAACTGTTCTATATGAAATCGTACTCTTGCAGGAAAGACAAAACTTCGGAACAGTTTACTCAAAGTAAAAACAAAATCAAAGGAGCAAACACAAAACTTCAAGACGGAGCAAACATAATCCCGAAACGAAAGACGTGAAATTTGGGTATTCAGTATTTTGGGGAAGGGTTCGTTTCCATTATTGTGGTTTGTTATAGAGCTTAAGAATCTAATTATAGGGTACATTTACTGGTAAATTCTAACCATTTCACGAGATTCTAGTTAGTGTAGCAATACTGCATTCAACACAAACTTTCCATTAAATCATGCACGCAAAAATGCATGCAATGCACAGATACATACGTAGAGAAATTTATTGCTAATTGAAATAGCGAAAAAAAACATAAATTTAAGATCGAGAAAGGTGGGAAATCGTTTGTGCATGTAAGGCAGTGATAAAAAATAATGACTATATAAATTAGCAGTTTCGTCACCCAGAAATGTGAAAGCTCTCTTAATGACGACTTGGTGCTTGCAAGAATCAACATCTCATTTTATGGATACCCTTCTTGACTAGAACTTACCAATGGGTTCTTCCTCTTTAAATGTTACAATAAACTGATTTTCACTGAACTTTGGCCTTTGATTGACCTGAGCTGAAAGAAAGGAACCAACGAAAAATAACGTATAATTTTCAGAAACGTTTTTCATGACTGCAAAGTAAACTAACATTGAAAGGCGTCCTTTCTACTTCCTGAACTGCCTCAACTCTCTCAGAAGTAATCAATCAATAATTATTTCTCCTTCCATTTTCAACACTGTGTCCAGCAGAAAGGCGATGAGAAAAAAGAAAAATATCAATTAGAGAATGTTTGTTTGATTTGCCTCTAAATTCTCAGAACTAAAATTATCCGAAATGTATAACAGACGGTAAGGAGAGTTGAAATAAAGATCATGGTTGTGAGGGAATAAAAAATGACAGTTGTAATAATCAGGCACGGTCATCATTGGCTATTAAACCATTTATTTATAATTTCAGCTCAAACGCCACCTTCTTTACAGATTTTTCACCAAAAATTAAGGCCTGTTTTAACGATTAATTACTTAAAATCACTTTAATCTCGATACAAAATTGCAATAAACATAGTTCGAAAAACATTTTGAGATAAACAAAAGAAGATGAGACTTTTCAAAGATCATGAGTTGTTCAGTCTCAAGTTCGCCTTTTCTCTCTACTCAAAGCTTACTTTGGTAGAAGAAGATTTTTTCGGCTCTGAAACGTGAGGCCTGTTTCATTTTTCAGTATTCACAATTGAATTAAATAAATCAATCAACAGGGTTAGCATCCACACCTCCTGGATACCATTTAAACGCTACTACCCACCGAGTAACAAAGCCCTGAGATTTGGGAGCGAGGCAAATTTTTTTGGGTTCTTTGTGTAAAATTAATTATATTTGGACCTGCGCATGATAAACAGGTAAAGAATGATCCTCGCAGGTGAACTGCGAAAAAAAATAGTAAAAAAACAAAATACGGGAAAGAAAGCTGCAATAATTCCGACTTCCATGGGTTTCGAACCCGTGCCTCAGAAGCCATTTGTTTTTGGTGAAGAAAATTTTCGAGGGTTAATTTCTTTACCTGTTTTAATTATTTCAATGTTATTGCTTTGATTTTCTTCTCCAAGTGATCTTAAATCTTTTCAAATAACATCACTGATCGCGCTGGAGAAGTTATGGGTGAAAATTATTTTTCGCCAAACTTTTTATCATGAATTTTTGAATGAATATTGTGAACAGAAAATATGTGGAAGAATTAAAATAGACAGCACCTTAAAGTAAAAGGAACTTGATCAGGACTAAACTAACGTTTAGGCAAACTTAGTTTTAACTCTGATCAACAATGAAGTGTTTTCTAATCATACATCTAACAGACGAGGAGCCCGAGCGGGAATAATGTTTTAGTTCTTTTACGTGGAAATGTACTCCTCTTTGCTGAAGAATACCTTCAACTGAAATCAAATACCCTCATCTTCGTTAATAAACTTTATCAGCACCAAAACAAGCACTTTACGTACCTTGAAGACGCTGAGCCTTATAAAAAATTGAAATCAACAGCAGACGTAAGAATTGTGCTGTGAGATACATTTCTGCAACTCGTGAAGGTCTCGATAGAGGTTTACATGAAATCAAATCGAATTAATCCCTTCGGCCTAGAAGTATTTTTCAGTTTTCCTAACACTGTTAAATTACGTTTACAAAATTCTTGAAAAATTATGTCATTGAAGTTATCCTTGGAAACAGCTTGAGGGAGGCATCACCACGTAATCGGTAACAAACCGCATGCGACTGATAGGTTACTGCGACAATAGTGTATCACTTAGCGTCTGATAATTATTGGTCTAAACTTGAAATAAATACCTCTGTTTAGAAATGATATAATGCCACCAATTTGAACAAAAGAGTTTTAAAACTTCCTTGATAGAGCTAGTGTTTGAATTTGGAGTTTACTCATTTACAATAAAGGGAACACGAAACAGAGAATTTGAAAAAAAAAGTCACCTCGCGATGAAGACATTTGTTTGTTTTTTCTTTTCTTTTTTATCGCACTTCCTTTTTTTCGTTTTTAAGAAACCATGAATAATTGAAGATGTTTAATTATTTATCGTAATGAATCATCAAGCTCGTAATCATATCCCGCAGCGAAGGGTTTTAAATCGTGATTAACAAACAATTATTTATGTTGGAAAAAGGGAATAATTGATGTCCTTTACATAAAGGGGTATAACAATCTCTATACCTTCCTTACATCAACAGATTTCACAACTGAGGATCTTGCTTCGAAAATTAATCTGTCTCTACATAGATCTATATAATAACACGATCCGATTTGATTTGATTATCGGTTTTGGTTTTAATCGGTTTGAGGAATATGGCAAAATTAATTCCAAACTTTCAGGTCGTTTCATTCATTGCGCTGAAAACGGATTTTGCTGCGGTACGAGAATTCACCTTTCTGCTGTGTTTCACATGAAGCAAACGAAATAGGATATAGCGGAAGCCACTTGTATATGTTGGTTTGGAAACAAAATGATTAATGATTAATTTTTCCGCCGTTTTTTACTGAGCGGAAGCATGCCTACGAACAGGTAAGATTCCCGTATAACCCTTCAGCCTAAAATCTCACACCTCCCTTACCAACGCCTCTTAGGGTCAGTTGACACATGAATATGCGGATTTAATGATTGATTACTAAATAGCAGAAAAAATATTTTGGTAGGATTTTCCAGGTAGACCTATGAAGTTGGCAAGATGTGTGGATCTATTAATTTCCCTGGTTATAATACCGGCTCTAAGGGTGAATCATATCCTTCAAGATCTTCAAAAGTCTCTAGCGCCAAGCATTCGAGTACCCATAGTCCTCTATTGCGCTCACGTGATCAGTGAACGATTGTTTTTTAAAACGAGTGGCTCTAGGTACTAGTGTACAAAATAGTGGCTAAGATGGCGAGCTCGGCGAGTGTTCCAAGTGATATATATCCACATATTTACTCGTTTTTATTGCAAAACAATCTGCTCAAAACCGCCAAAGCTTTTAAAGCGGAGACATTAGTGGTAAGTCTGTCTTCCTTGAGATAACTGATTTATAAATCGCTCTGCTGAGTGGATTGTTTCTCTTAATGTTCCGCAAATTTTAAAGAGTTGTACACGTGCATGTATCGAAAGGAAGTTCTGTGTTGTTACCGACATGTTGCTTTACTTCTGACGATATGTTGAACAAATCGAAAAACGGCGATGATAATGACATGCTAACAGAAATTACAGGAATCAAACTGCACTGTGACCATTAGATTTTCAACTTTCCTTGATAAATTTACTGATTATGTTGTGAACACAGTACACGTGCATGGCACGATGAAATATTGCGAAACTGCTGTCAGTGTTAGGTTCGACAAACGTTGTCTTTTAGCCTCTCCGATCTGATTCTTTGACGAGAAAGACCACGCGCCCAAGCGCACCTACAAAACAAAGACTATACCTTGGCAAAGATTTCTTGTATGATACAATTGCACTTTAAGATGTACGGGCTTATTTTCCCTCTTTCGATTTACGGATTGTCGATTACATGTAATCAGAAACATTAAATGCAAAGAGCCCTCTAACTTTTAGATTTTATATCAGTGGCTCTCAGTTCAAAACTGTCCATGTGCAGTTGTCAGTAGAATGTCACTGGATTAGGCCAGTGCCTTTCATACTGGGCCTTTCATACAGTGCCTTTCGTTACAGGGCCCAACCATAAAAAAGGCAGATTAAGCCAGTCATCAGATAAATATCTATCCTGCAGATAAGTAATAGCAACACATACTCTGCTATCCACCACAGAAAGAGTTATCCCGTGGATAGCATTATCCAACCTTCAAACAACTGGGGCTAGGCCTTTATCTCCTTATCCAGTCCTTGTGATCAGTTTCATGCAAAGCAATATTTTCCAGTTCCCTCAGCTCATTACCACTTCAGCAAAATTCCTAAATTGAATCTTTTATTTTTTCCTCTTGTCCTGTTACTGTGGCCCATACTACTGGAGTTCACAGCTAAGATTGCCTGTGCATGACTGAGCATGCAGCTTGGTAACACTGTTTCTTTAAAGCTCTAGACTTACCTTGTTTCTTCTTTGCAACAGGATTTATCTCGACCTCTTCAAGAAAGTGATATCCTTGAATGGTTTAAGGCATTCTTAAGGTGAGAATTAACTGTATTTCTTCAACCTAGCAAAGACAATATGGTTGGCCAGAGTATTTTAGGGAAGCTAATAATTTGGGAATGTTGTCATTAATTAACCTTTTCACTACTACGACCTCATTATTAATTCTCTTTACAGTCTGCCATACAATTCCCCTAATGCTAGTGGGGAAAATTTGGTTTTGGATCAACTAATAATTTCCTAACAGATAATTTTCTCTATTCCTTATTCTTGTCAGCCTGATGTTGTATTGATATTGTAAGGAGAAATTCTGTCTTGGTCACTCGTGGAAGTTAATTAGAGGGTTAAGTATCCCATCCTAAAGTAGCAAAAGTTCATTGCTTATAAAAGTAGAAATAGAAACTTTCGCCATCTTTGCATTATACTATATTTTATTTTATATTTTTTGTGGTTGTTTGTTTCTTTAGGTCCAATCAAGCTCCTGTGAAAAGAAAATTGAATGGAACCAGTAAAGAACCAAAATCAAAACGTCAAAAGACCCAAAAATCAAGTTCAGGTGAGATACTTGTTATTTTTTTTTATTTTGGTTAATAGAAGTGCAGTTACATGACATGATGGGTTACGTGCTGTTGTCTGTGGTTTTAGAAAGCAATGTGCAGCATAGAAAATATCTGGTGCTGGCAAATTGAAATAGTGGCTGTTAGTTCTTCTTTAGACTGGTTAAGTCCCAAAATTGATGAATGTCAAATTTATTTAATAGTTAATGTCAGTAATTTTTCATTTCCAAAAAAAATTTATTCAAATTAATTTTGGCTTCTTTGTGATACTGTTGTAATATTTTCTGTTTTTGGAACAGAGTCATCTAGTTCTCAAGATTCAAGCTCTGATGAAGATGAACCAGCAAAACCAGCAGCAAAAGTAATTGAAAAACTTGAAAACAAACAGGCCAAGTCGAAAGATGAAAGCTCCACTGAATCAAGCTCTGACGAAGATAGAGGAAAAAAGACAGCACCTGTTAAAGGTACAATCAAGAAAACAAAGCCCAAAGATGAAAGCTCTTCTGAATCAAGTTCAGAGGAGGAGGGAGCAGCTAAAAAGGCAACTTCAACAAAAGTAAGTGAAAAAACAGTGAGCCAGAAGAAAAAACAAGAAGATGATACCTCATCTGAGTCAAGTTCAGAGGAAGATGAAGCAGAACAAAATGTGACCCCTGCAAAATTTGATAAAAAAACAGCAAAGCAAAAGCCAATGCCCAAAGATGAAAGCTCTTCTGATTCAAGTTCAGAGAAAGAAGAAACTGAGAAAAAGGCAACTCCAACAAAATCAAACAGTAAAACAGCAAGTCAGAAGAAACACCAAGAAGATGAAAGTTCATCTGAGTCAAGTACAGAGGAAGAAGAAACAGAGAAAAAGGCTACTCCAACAAAAGCAAACAGTAAAACAGCAAACCATAAGACAAAACCAAAAGATGATAGCTCAGCTGAGTCGAGTTCAGAGGAAGAAGATGCAGAAAAAAAGAAAACTCCTTCAAAAGTGAGTGGAAAACCAGTAAACCACAAGGCAAAGCCAAAAGATGATAGCTCAGCTGAGTCAAGTTCAGAGGAAGAGGAAACTAAAAAAAGAATAATTCCTACTAAAGCGAGTGGAAATAAAGCAAACAAAAAGACAAAGGAAGAAGATCAAAGCTCATCTGAGACAAGTTCAGAAGGAGAAGAAACAGAAAAGAAAGCAACTCCAACAAAACAGAGTGGAAAAAAAGCAAAGCAGAAAAAAAGTAAACCAAAAGATGATGTTAGCTCATCTGAGTCAAGTTCAGAGGAAGAGGAAACAGAGAAAATAAATAAAGTAGATAACAAAAATAACAACAAGAAAAAGGGAGACAGTTCTTCACAATCTAGTTCAGACGATAATGAACCAGCTAGCAAAAATACAAAATCAAAAAAGGAAAAGCTGGAGAAAAGCAAAGAAAAAGAATCATCAGATGACAGTTCTAGCTCAGACGAAAGTATGGAGATATCAGTTGACACATCAAAAGTAGCAAAGTCTACAAGTTCTTCCACTGAATCAGTGAAAAAGGGAGATAAGGATGATGAGAGTATGGACACAGACGATGAAAGTTCAAGCTCAGATGAAGAAGAAAAGGCTAAGAAAGTTAAGAACATAAAAGGTGCAAAAAGACAACAACATGGAAGGGCTGCATCTTCAGATGAAAGTTCCAGCTCAGATGATGAAGAGGACACTTCAAAAGTTAAGAATATGAAAGGCACTCCAAAACAACAAAATGGAAAGGCTGCATCTTCAGATGAAAGTTCCAGCTCAGATGATAAAGAGGACACTTCAAAAGGTAAGAACATGAAAGGGACTCCAAAACAACAAAATGGAAAGGCTTCATCTTCAGATGAAAGTTCCAGCTCAGATGACGAAGAGGAGACTTCAAAAGTTAAGAACATAAAAGGGACTCCAAAACACCAAAATAAAAAGGCTGCATCTTCAGATGATAGTTCCAGCTCAGATGATGAAGAGGAGACTTCTAAAGTTAAGAACATAAAAGGGACTCCAAAACACCAAAATGAAAAGGCTGTATCTTCAGATGATAGTTCAAGCTCAGATGATTCTGATGAAGGGGGCAACAGTAAGTTGAATGGAGTGGCCAATTCCACAAAGAGCAAAGCCAAAAAGGGCACAGCTGATGAGCCACAAGGTAGTTATGCATGGTTTGTTCTTAGAATTGCAGTGTACTAAGTAGTAAGATTGTCTAATTGACCTGGAAGGCAGCCTTGTGTATTGGCAACAGTTCTGGTACATCCTTTTTTTGTGTGACAATGAAAGTTTTCCTTCAAAAGCCGAAAATTCGGAAAAATTCTTTTTTTACTTGGTTTCAATTTTGAAAGTCCAGGGGTTTGACTAAGAGATAACAACTAGTTAAATTTAGCACTTTTTTCTCTGAAATCCATAATATTAACAGCAACAAAAATCAAATTTGAATTACATGTAGCTGCCTATTTAGCAGTTTTTGCCATTTACTTGATACCTTGATGAAGAGGGGGGTGAAAAGGGTTTTGCATGATGGGGTATTAAGTGGTTTCAATTTTCATGAATTGTGAAAATACCAAATTAAGACCCCTTGAACAGTGAATTTCTTGCTTTTAACAATACTTGAACCTGAAAGTTGTTTATCCAATTTCTCCTGAAGAGTCATTTCTACTATTTGATGGACATGGAATGTGTGCAAGGTCCTCCCTATAACTCCCTATAACCCCCTTAATAAACCCCTGAAACTTAAAGATTGTTTTCCAGTTCAAAAATTCTTAAGGGTGCTTGATTTTTATTGAAAATGAAAATGTTACTTTTTCGTATATTGGTGGAGAACTAACAAAAGAGTCAAAACAAAATTCTTATAATGCAACTGACAAACCAAGTTGTTTTTGTACACAAGGCTGTTGATACTCTTATTTTTGCATCAGGTTAACAATTGGTCTTTTGTTCATTGTTTTAACACCTCCCAGAAGTCAATGTACAGTTTGCACACATGCCTGACTTGAAAGTGTCAGTTATGGGTCATAATCCACCTTTGACATGTAATTTTGTGTGGTAATTCAGCTTTTTGAAAATGATCTTTCAGCATCTTCCACTCCTGCAGTTACAAATTCAAAACAGAAAGGAAGAAATCAGGTGAGACTATGAGAAACCTTGCAATAATCTCATGCAAATATTACACTTTTAGAAACTTGTGGAAAATTCGGTTTTTTTGCAAGAAAAGTGTAAATGCATATTTATTTGTGTGAAGTTTGCCACATAGCCTTGCTTGGAGATTTAAGTGCAGCACTATTCAAAATGAGTCATCAACATATCCAGGAACTAAAAACTAGTTTTCATGGTAATGCATGGTAATGGGCTACTGTGGAACTTGATTTGAGGGGCATTGTTCAGTGCAACATTAGTGCATCAACTACTGAGTGTTTGAAACTTTTCTTTGAATTGCATATGTGACTTAAAACATTACCTGATGCATTATAGTGACTAACTTGTACCTTTTTCCTTTCAAATGCCAACTGTTACTCACAGTATTGACTTTTCTTAGTGCTTATTTTGAGATCTCCCTTTTTTTTTCTCATCCTTCCTTGTCTTGTTTTCTTTTCCTTTTTTTCCTCTCCTTTTTTTTTTTTTACTTTTTTTGTGCTCATTTTTGTTTTTCCTTTTTCTCTCTTCAATTCTTTCTTCTGTTCTTCTTTCTATAACATTTAGAACTGACAGTAGTGCTGATACCAACCGCTGCCCACTTGAGCAATTGCAATACTGCTATGCAATTAACACAATGCTAATGTCAGTGAATCATTTTCCATTTAGATCAAAACACCTTTTAGAAGAGTTAGAGAAGAAGAAATAACAGTAGACCCCCGGTTGCAGGATAACAGTTTTGAAGCAAAGGTGAGAAAAAGAGTACAGTGTCAACAGGCACAGTCACTTTAACCCTTCAACCCCTAAGAGTGACCCGCATCTAATTTCTCCTTACTTAAGAAATGTTATTGAGAGCAGTGTGGAGATTTATAATACTAATACTAATATTAAGGAGTAGAGGGTGAAATACTCTCATAAGCCCCCTAGGGCTGATCAGTCCTGAGGACTCCCAGACCAGGGGAATTATTAGAGGGGGTGCTTATTTTTGGAGTGGTAAGGGAAAGGATTGAAAACTTTTTGAAAAGTGTTTAAACCTTGATTAGTGCGAATTGTGCTGTGAACAACTTATTAGAGTACAGACTGGGAGGCTACTGCAGGTGTCCATGATAAGAATAGGCACACAAAGTTCAACCAGTGGTGTTTTAGTGGCCATTGTAAAAGAATTTGAGTGATTAAAAGATAGATTTTCATTTCCTTCTTAACCTTCTGTTGCAGTACGGATCAAGAGGAGACTGGGGCGAAAAGGCCAACAGAGACCTCAAACAAGTGAAAGGTGAGGTGAAAGTTAAAAAAAAAGGAACAGTTCACTCTTGATCATTATTTCTCAAACTACCAAAATTACTTTTGGAGGAGAAAGGGGGGCTCTTTTCTATTAGCAGCCTTTGGCAAAAAGCAATTTCATAAAAAGAAGCTTCAAGCAGCCCATGAAGGCTAAATTATATCCCAAATGCATCGATTTACATTTCATTTATCTTAATTGAGATATGCAGAGGAGATGTAATTTAGATATGCAATTTTCAGAGCTTTATTTTTAACCCTCAGATTTTGTTTGTCTAATGTCAACAATTATTAACCACAAACACATAGTGTGGTCTGCCTTTGCCTAGACCTCTTGGCCCTCTTCACCCACTGTTGCATTTCCCAGAAACATCTGAAATACAACACATTCTGAAGATGAAAAATGCCTTGTATGTGAATATTTTAACATCATCAAACACTAACAATTTTGAATTTCAATTTTGAGGAGCATTTAGGGATGCTCTCCTTTTTGGAAAATGGAATTACAACAAAAGTAGTTGCAACTAAAACAAAAGTCATTTCTACATTTCTCTCTTATTTTCAAGAATGGGTATGAATCTACTTTTTTAGTAACTATTTGTTTTTGTTCACAGGCAAGTCCTTTAGACATGAAAAAACCAAGAAGAAGCGGGGAAGTTATCGTGGGGGGCAAATAAATACTGGAATTAACTCAATCAAGTTTGACAGTGATTGAAAAAATGTCAAATTCTCCTCTCTTTTTTGAAGTTGCTTTCAGACAGAGTATGTTATTGTTATTTAATGTTAATAGATATTGTAAAAGAAAGGCAAAAATTTCATGCAATTTAGTGAAATTCTGATACAAGCTTGCTCAGCGATGATATTGGTGTTATAACCCCAAATTGTTGTTATTTAGGGTACTTTTTATTTGATTGTCATAAGGCCTAAACAACCTGCCAATCACAACAGCTTATGCCAGCATGAATGGGACTCAGGAGGATGTTCTCAAGATTGTTGTCTGATCTGATTTTTTTATTGTGGTGCTCAGTGCTGCTGGTTGGAATTTGTTGGGCCAAAACTAATGATTGTACATATTAAGCTTGTCTTATGAGAGCGTTCTTATTAACAGTTAACCCTTAAACTCCCAGAAATTATCAACATGAAACTTCTCACTATAATATCCTTACATTTTCTAGCAAACAGGTAATGAGAATATTCAAACTTATCAGGTATAAGTTTTTGTCTTTATGTAGTACCAAATTTTCGTGACTAATTTACAAAAAAAATAATTTTTCTCTGGGAATATTGCCTCTTGGGTCATGTCTCTTGTAGGGAAAAAAGTTTTCTTTGTCATATTAAATCAAAATCATGATAAAGAATCAGTGTCATTTCTTCTTGTGTATGTCAATCATCACTGCTTGGAATGAATTTTTTTTATTTTTCTCAAATAACACGTGCATCTCTCAAGCAATTTTTGCTATTGTAGGCAAGTGAAAGGGACACGTCTTTAAAGAAACTGTGATGCTTCGTCGGTAGGGGATATTAATAATAATTGATAATTTTGTATGGTATGTTAATTTGGTTTTATCACCTGAGTTAGCGTCTACCCTTCGTCTGAGAACTTCCAACTTCAAACCTTAAAGTGAATACTTCAAGGGACATCCAGATGTGTGTGTAAAATATTGTATTAAAAAAATTATGGCTTAGAAGTAAGAACTAGAATACAGCTTTGATTTCCTGGGAGAACAGAAATAGTTCGTGTGCTTTCGTATAAAAACGCGTTTTAAACAAAATGGCTGCGTCCTTTTTAAGCTTGTCACCTTGTTTCTTAGTTCTCTGTCCCGAACTATCCACTACACCAAGAGCGGTCCTTGCTTTTCGGCGAAGTTCACCGCACAAGTATAATAAAAAAGTAACGTGAAATTGGAGGGGTCATGTTAGCGTTCCGCGTGGTTCTAGAAATGTACGCTAAAACATTTTTTTTCATTTCTCACTTACTTTCCTTGAATCGCACGACAGACTTCGGCGAAAAGGACGGACTGCTCTTAGTTTAACCATACCCTTGAGTGACTGAGAGAAAAGTTTGGGCACACAATTGCAATTTGCGGGGCGTAACCATCTTCGCAGTTTGTTGCATGGCGCAATAATGATCGCAGTTTCAAGCAATTAGTTGCATGGTTATTGTCGGAATTATACTCAACAGGAAGGTTCGATTAATTAATCTGTAGTTTTCCAGACAGGAAAAATTGATTTGCTGCGATTACCGAAAAACAAACTTCAACCTTGACACTGCATATAGTGTTCAACTGACCGTTTTAGTTGAGAGTAAATTATTGGCTTCAGGTTTTCTTTTTACATTAAAATTCATTTTCTTTGTTTCTTTTTTTGTTCTGTTTGTTTTTATTTTTTTTTTTCTGTTAATCGGCTTTAACAACATTTAAATTACAAATATTAGCAATCAAAATGTTGAATGTAGTTTGTTAAATCAATCTACAGATCGTTCACTTCCGACGCATGGTCAAGAGAACGTTTTTGTTTCAATTTTTGAAAAAAAAATCTGGATTGATTCAAAAAGAAAAATTATTTTACCTAAACTAGAGGTAAAGGTCATGAGGCTAGAAATGAGAATCGGTTGTTAAGACACTCAAAATCCATCTAAAGAATTTAACTTAGCAATTAATGTTCCCTTAAAAAAATTGCGTAGACTAAATCTTCAAACGTGCCGACATTGCATTAAAGTGTTAACTGATTCCCAACGGAGAAAGTACATCGATGAGCTTCGTTCGAATTTGAATGTTATCCGAAGAATGTGGTATGGTTTTCCTTATGTAAAACGATAAATTTTTTTTGCTCCAAAGATGATCTGGTTACTGTGTTGATACGCGAACTGCGAGATCGAGAACGAGGCGTACACTAAAAGCGCCAAGAAATTGAAAGCCACAGGTACGATAGATTCAAACAATACTTAAGATAAAATATATAGTGCTGCGTAACTTAAGCATTTGCAGGTGTAAAAATAGTGTTGCTTTAAGTCTGGAATTAGACCTGCATCGTGAGAAGGTTTACGAAATACTCAGCTTGGTGAAGAAAAATGTCTTTTTCTCTCAAATGAATTCCAAAAAAAGCTCTTGCTGGCCGCTCTTTCCTTCTAAGAGTACGAACTACGGATCTGGAGCAAGTTCAGAATGTAACAGAATATTATATTCTTCAAATGCAGTGATAAACTATAAGCCTTTAATCGAAACCTTCAGCACCATCGCACAAAACTAGAGATCGATTCGTATTCGAAGATGCTCTTGGATTTAAGTTTACACAGCGTGCAAGGTACATAAATAATAACTGGCTTCTGTTCTCAATTTCACTTCCATTTACCAGCTAGCCATTTGTTTGTTTCGTTTTCTCAAATACTGGCTGGAAGGTGAAATTAAGACCGTAAATTGAGGCGGCTACGTTCGGAAATATTTGGGCAGCTGTTTTAAAAGTTCTATTCATTGTCCCAGCTCCTTCCGCAGCGAAAATATATGTTATTGGTACCTTGAATATCTTGGCTGAGGTACATGGAAATCATATCCAAGGCTACATTACATTTAATTTTTAACAACGCTCAAGACCATAATATGATATCGTCTGCTTTGAATATAAAAGATTGTCCACTAAACCCAACTCAGTAGACTATTATACCTGTGGCGGTTTGAGGAGGGGGGGGGAGGGGGAGGGAGGTTGTTTATCACAAATAGCTAACTTAAGATATTTTCAATATATTTATCAGAGGATTTGTTTTCTTGGCGAAGTAATTATTGCTATTTAGTTTACTAGTTTGTTCTTCAAGGCTTTCTTAACGATCTAGAGCAGTTTTAAGTTGTGAGCGTCTCCAGATGGGATGTAGGTGTGGCAGGATAAAGAGAAGAGATACAACAATATTTCGGTGATACTCCGAAACAAAGTACTCCTTCCAGTAACACGGCACTGGAACGTCGGGCTTTAAAATTCTTTACGGTGGCCATTTTATGTGATCAACTCAGTTGATAATTCTTAATTGCTTTGTTACACTCTCCCAGCGACGCAGCACCACAGTTTCTTTAGAAATTTACCCCTTTATTCATTAATCAATTTTTGCCGGTCCCGCACCAATTTCCTGCACACAGTTTGAGCGGAAAATATAAGAAACAGCCGCTGTCAAGTAAAATATGAATAGAAAATCAAAACGTTTTTATAAATCTTTAAAGGGAAGCAAAAGTAGAGGAGAAACAGAGACTGTTCGATCACAATGAATATTTAATTTAGGGTTTACAGCTGACTTTTACGCAACTGCAGATTATAATCGATTGCTTATGCGTTATTGTTTCGATTTTTGTTTGTTAAACGCATTTCAAATACCACGGCTTATTGACTTTTGTGGGATTTTTTTTAACTCCTCTGAGGCAATTTGCTTCTGACAACCTGAAAGCACACGTCTTGGCTATTACAACGATAGCACATGCGCAGACATTGGACCGCTGGAGACTGGAACTTTACTGTTTGAAGATATTGAACGCGCTGTTTGGATAGTGGTTAATCAAAAAACTTTAAGGAAAACGAATGGTTGCTCAGTGAAGAGATAAAATATTTACTAAAAATAGAATTTCATGATATTAAAGAACAGCAACTGATTCAATGTTTTTGTTTGACTTTGACAGATTAGATTAAATTTACCAAATTTAAATTAATTCCTTGTTTGCGCCTTTGTTTGAATTAATATCCCCTTAATTGCTTCTCTTTACACATCGTTATATAGCATGCATTCATTATTAGCACCGTTGAATGAATTCTGAGGTGA